TTAGTGGTGCACGGGTGCAGCAGAGCTAGTTGGCCTCCTACTAGTCGAAGCCAATTATGCAGACGACTGAGATGATTTCCTTAAAATTTTGTGTGAAATGAATGATAGGTGATAGAGTGTCTTTCGCCTTCGAAGTTATGGTCGATGAATTATCGTTATCCGTGGATAAGTGTGGGTTCCAAGAGATTTAATGCTAACAATGGCCACCTATCGTGTGCTAGATGAGGATCCTAGGCGAGAAAGGAACTGAATGTTCTTGTCTGTTCGTGATAATTAGCTCTATCTGGGGCTTTGACTCACTGATATTTAGATTCCTCATAACATAGGCCAATACAACTCATTTGTGCTTTAATTTCACGATTGAACCAGATATCCCAGTCAATTCTCTCCTATAGAAAAAACATTTCTATCATTGGATGCTTGTGCTGAGTAGTACCCTTTTCGCAGCCATTCCTTCCACACCCCTCAGGTACTCTAATTCTAGGATAAGTTCAACAACAAACGATAGCGATTCACCAATATCGCCCATAAATTTTTCCATCACACTTGCTAGTCTTCAAACATTTATTTATCCCCGTCGGTTGAGTAAATTTCTGATTCTGTTTTATCTCATCAGTATTGTTTTCGCATACACGCTCCCTACGCATACGCACTACACGTCCTAGATCTCTATTGATCTGAAGTGCTAGTTACCCAACCTATGTGTCCGTGATGGACAAAAGACCAAACCACCAGCCGTTACGCCCAGAGCTGGACCTTAAGAAAACTAAAGCACGCAAAACAACATATTTTTTCCAACCACAAAACACGCTATCTTTCAACCCCAGAAAGAGGCAAGACGAGTGTCAGACCAAACAAGGCACCGAACAAAACACAAACAGAACGCCTGAACAACCGGCAATTCAAAACATCAAGGCTTTACCTGAACAGAGCTCAGATGACAGTTTTGAAGGTGTGAGATGGCGTGGAGGAGCTAGTCCGCGTCGTCAGGTCGATACCAGATGTATCCTTTCATCGCCTTTGAAGAATGGTGATAAGCTTAATACGCGTTCTGGTGCTTCTGAGACCGTGACACCCGCAATGAATAATGAGGTGACAGACTCGTTTCTCTCGAAATACGGCCTCGGGTTCGAGAATGTACTTTCTCAAACTCCGAAGACAGCTCAAGCTCATGCAAACAAAGCACACCTAAACGTGAGCCCCACGTTAGAGAGGTCGAAACTGTTCGATCCCACTTGCATTACGTCAAAGAAGACGCCTTCCCCCGATCAATTCAGCACGCCGTCTCTCTCAAGGCTAAATACGTGGATTGATAGATTCGCCACTAATCTGCCTCAAACGACACCCGAAACAACCTTCAAAAAGCCACATGTTGCATCTAAAGCGGATGATGAGTCTGAGGAAGACCCGTTCTCTGACGACGATTCAGTTTTAGCCACTTTGAACGTGGAACAATTTTCCACTGCGGTAGCTACTCAAAAACAAGCAGCCAAACCAGCGGTGCAGTGCACCAGTATACCATTGGAAACAGGCAACGACGATTCTTTCGCAGAGTCTGACCCTTTCACCGATGAGATCGATATTGAGGACTTGGAAAAGAGGGTCTCGACAACACAGCATCAACCAAAACATGGCCTGAAGGAAGAGGTTCTTTTAGACAAGCTTCAAAAATCCATCAAGGCAGAGAAGAGAGAAGACATCGGAGCAAAGGTGTCATTTTCAAGATCAGACTTCATAAGGTATGAGGTTGTTTCAGTCTTTCAGGGCGTCTATTCCTTCCAAAACCACAAGAGAAAACAATTGATTCTCTCAGTGAAAGACAAGGAGGGCACTCAAGGTAGACTTATCGTGAGGGGTGCCTCGTCCGAACTCAGCATTCAGGCCAACGACATAATTCATGTCATTTTGACCTGCCCAGATACACCTAAACTAGTTGATGACTCGCATAACTTGCTAATATGGAATCCCGATGTATTAGTAACATCAACAGTGGTGGCGGATCAACTATTCTGTCCTAGAAAAACGGTCATCATGAAACGCTTCAAGTTTCCCGGCTATTCCACGCTACCGCTTTTGACCGGTACAATTGTGCATGAAATCTTCCAAACTTGCTTCATCACTGAAAGGTTTGATAATACGTATCTCGAGGAGCTACTTGAAAATGAAATCAACGGGCGCCTCATAGAAATTTACATGATAGGAGACGTGGTCAGTGAGTTAAAAGGAATGATACGAGAACGTCTTCCATTCATCACATTGTGGTTTCAAACTTTCTACAAGAAACCCCCTGTTGAAATTCCAACGAATCAAAGAAATCAAAAAATTAGGTTTTCCGTCGCTGACGGTTTAGACCTTGAAGAAAGTGTATGGTCACCCATGTTTGGATTGAAGGGTATGGTTGATGTAACACTCAAAGCAAATTTCAAGGGAGAATTTTCCACGTCCCAGGCACTTCTTCCAATGGAAATCAAAACCAGCCGGCCTTACCTTAGTCATCAAGCACAAGCTGCACTATACTCGCTCCTTTTCAAGGATAGATATAACTTCGACATATCTTCATTTCTTTTGGTGTATGCACTGGAAGAAGGTCTGACGACGAAACACGACATTTCAGTACCTGATCTCAAGTCACTCATACATCTTCGCAATCAAATATCATTTTTTCTAAAAAGTGGTCAAAACGATTTACCAGACTTGATGAGACAGCAAAAATGTGATAAGTGTATGATTCAGGAGGCTTGTATGACTTTGAACCGAATCACAGAGGATGGAACTGCTGATGATAGCGGTATTGACAAAGAAGTGTACGACAATCTTATGCTACACTTTGATGGAAAGCCACATTATGCTGCATTTTTTAAATACTGGAATGAGTTACTCACACAAGAGGAGCATTTCTTGGATAAGTTCAATCGCGATCTTTGGGTCTACACAGCTCAAGAGCGGGAAACTGAACGTGGAAAGGCTATCGCAGACCTTGTCATCTCAGGCCAAAGGCAATCGGAGGAGAGCGGCTTATTTTTCTACACCTTCGAGAGAAAGCCCGGAACGCTATTCAAATCGATGCAAAATACCCAGATTACCAAAAACGATAAGGTTGTGATCAGTGACGATCAGGGCCGATTCGCCCTCTCGCAAGGATATGTTCGAGAAGTATGGCCTGACTCAATCACCGTTTCCACCAGAAGACGCATAATTCCGACCTCTCTGAAAACAGATAAATTCCATAGGGCAAGTGTTTTGAAAGCAAGTCAACAAAATTCACAAGAGTTCAAATCCGCAGTGGTATTTCGCATTGATAAGGACGAAATGTTTTATGGGATGGGCGTGGCAAGATATAATTTGCTTAACTTATTCTTGAAATCAGGTGATTCCAAAAGACGGGAACTTATAGTTGATTCAAGAGCCCCTATTTTTGAAAAGTCAACACAGAACGTCGTTGATCCGCAATTCAACGAGGACCAGAAACATGCTATGGATAGAGTCTTAGCAAGTCAAGATTACACTCTTATACTTGGCATGCCTGGTACCGGTAAAACAACGTTGATTGCGCATTTGATCAAAGACCTCAGCAGTAAAGGAAAGTCAGTTCTCCTATGTTCTTACACCAATTCAGCTGTTGACAACATTTTATTGAAATTGAGAGGCCTTGGTGTTGACTTTCTACGGGTCGGAAATGCTTCAAGAATTCATCAGGATATCAAACCATATATTCCCGGTTCTGAGGATTGTCCTGTGGACTCTTTCGATGACTTTGAACTCGTTTACAGAGGGCCTATGGTTGTTGGGGCAACTTGTCTTGCTATAGGTGACATTGCATTCAGTGTTCGTGAACATTTTGACTATTGCATCATCGATGAATCTTCGCAGGTGTCCCTTCCACTTTCACTCGGTCCTTTGGCCCTATGCGACAAATTTGTTCTTGTTGGTGATCATTTTCAGCTTCCACCACTTGTCATTAATCCCAATGCCGAAGTAAAGTCTGGTTTGTCAACCTCGCTTTTTCAGAAACTTGCGAATGAACATCCGGAGAGCGTTTGTGAGCTCACATACCAATACAGAATGTGCGAGGAGATCATGTTACTTTCAAATGCTTTAGTGTATGATGGGAAATTGAAGTGTGGTTCCACAGAGGTTGGCAAACAATGTCTAAGGATACCTAACATCAATAACATCGCCTCAGGGGTCAAAGACGATGAATCAATTGCCGACCGTTGGTTGGACGAAGCACTCAGAGAGGAGACGAAGTGCCTTTTTCTCAATCACGACTCTTTGGAAGGGTATGAATCCATTACAGGAGACAATGTGACAAACTTAACTGAGGTTGCATTGATCAGAGAAACTGTCGAAGCACTATGTGCTTGTGGGGTCAAGGAGAGCAGTATTGGCGTGATGACATTGTATCGCTCTCAGTTGAAGGTGTTAACAGAGGCATTCAGGCATCGCCCATCGTTGGAGATTCTAACCGCAGATCGTTTCCAGGGCAGAGACAAGGATTGCATAATAATTTCCCTTGTCAGATCGAACAAAGAAAGGAAAGCTGGAGATCTCATCAAGGATTGGCGAAGAATGAACGTTGCGCTTACTCGAGCAAGGTCCAAGCTTCTCATATTTGGCTCACTTTCGACACTTTCGAACACTGAGACTATAAAGGAATTTATAAGCCTATTCAAACGCAAGAATTGGATATACCATCTTCCATCAAACGCAAAACGTGTCTACGACTTTGAAGCTTCCACCAGAGTCCTGAAAGACATAAACGTCACGAAGAAGGTGACGAAAGTTGGAAGTAAAACGCTAGAGAAGCATCCCATCGTGAGAGATATCTTCAAGGATATGGACATCAACATTTGTCGAGGTTGAAAATGCATTAATACATATTTATAGAGCAAAAAAATGAAACTCGAAGTTTCCACGACGAAATCCAAGATTTTGGTTCTCGACGTTTGCTTGCTGATTTGGTTGATTTTGGCCATTAGCAGCACGTCTCATTTGCCCCCTCACGTTCTGAACGAATACGAAGACGAAGAACACAATTGTAAGGAGGAGAACTATGTAGTCAAAAACCTCATAGTCGTCCTCTTCCTCTATCTCGGTTCCTTCAAAATGGGCAGTGGACCTTTGAATTGCTCTTTCGTCGCTCGCATCATCATCTATGCTATCCTGGGATCTACCTAGCGACTTAAATGTACTGAACCAGCCAGCTTTATCCACATCTTTCTTGTCGCGGCTGAAGAGTAGCTTTAATCTCAAGCGCAATAATGCAAGACTCATTGGGTATGTGTTCAAGCGTGAAACTTCATAGAACGGGGAGTCCAGGGTATACTTCAGACTGAGATCATAATATCGTTTTGCCATATGATAGTCAACAGTTGCATTGGCAGAGCCAAGACCATACTCGTACATATGACCAAGCTTGAAACAACCATGAGATGATTGAGCCGTTGCTGCTCTTGAGTAATAGGAAAACGCTTTTCCAAAGTCTTTTGGAATATTTGCTGATTTCACACCGCTGTAATTGATGTCACCCAAGGCAATGGTCGAATCGACATCATCCTGAAGGGAAGCGAGTTCAAGGTAAGACATCGCACTTTCGAGTCTATCAGTGTCGAACGTTTTGGGATGCAATGAAAAAAGATTATCCGCCTGGTACAAAAGATATGCTGCGCTAACTTGTGAATGCCTGAATCCTTGCTCCGCTGCTAACAGGTATCCGAGAAGGGCATTTTTGAAGCTGCCATGAATGAACTCGTTGAATGCATATTTTAGGTGGGGGAAAAGTTCCTTCTCAGAGCGCTCGACAAACATTTTGTAGTATGTGACGATCGTAGAGCAATGTAAATCATCAGTGGGAGATGCCCCAACACCTGTTTCCATGGCATCAGCGTAGTAGAAAAATGCATCATAATAATTTCTGTGGCTAAGGTCACGCCAAGAACCAAAGGTCTGTTCTGTGTTATGAATAAGAAAGGGCAGCGTAGGATTTGCAACAGCCATCCATTGAGTGAGAAGATATGTGGCTTCTAGTGACAGATATTTGGCAGCGGTGGACAAGTGCCTCGAGCAATTCGAACTCAAAGTGCCCTCTGTGATAGGATCAAGAGTGTGGAACTTTCCAAGTTGAGTTCTGGTGTATCTACTATCAATGATACGGTTTCCGAACTCTAGGTACTTGAATGCTTTCTCGATATTGCGCTCACCGTGACCTCCTTCAAGGTACAAATTACCGAGCAAACAAGCACATCGAGACCACATATTTCTGTCCTCCTCGCTGACATATATCCCACTATTCTTACCAAACTTCACTTTAGCGTGCGCCAAGCACTTCCCTGCTAGATCATGAGCAACAGAGAGATTCATAGGAGTGAAGCGAGTTCCAGTATAGGATGCCAAGGCATCATAGTAAAGATCACGGAGGTCAGGATCATGGTTATAGTCATTATCCTCAAGATGCTTGCGCTTTGCTGCATCATAGTCTGCCGAAGCTTGAAAGGACAGAAACTGATTACTCACTTTGCGACCGTATAGTCCGCCGTTAAAGTCAGCAATACGAATATTGTGAAACGCTGTGCGAGAATCAGGAAGCCATGTGGAGTCAAGTTGATTCTTCTTAGTGACACGGGCTAGTCTGGAGTAGTAAAACTTTGATAAGTCGCAGTTGGGCGGCCTATCAATGCCGTGAAGGTACTTGTTAGCAAGGACGATGGTGGCATTGAGATTACCGTTCTCACTTGCAAACTGATAATATAAATTGGATTTTGCTTTATCTTTCTGAATTTCGCCGAACATGCCTGTAGAGTAAATAAAGCCTAGCATGAAGTAGGCATGATCGTGTGCTGAATTCTTCACGGCCGCCTCGTAGTAATGTAGCGCTTTCGTGTAATTGACTCTTATGTCAGACTGGCCGAACATATATAGATCAGCCAAATACACGTATGTTTCCTGAGTAGCGGAGGCCTCAGCATCTTCAATGAATCTAAGTGCCGCCGTCTCAAAACTGGTGTAGTAATTATCATGATATGGCGAGCCCTCATAGTCTTGTAGCGCTGTGTCATACTGTGGGATGAAGACATTATCCTGGATCAGCTTCTCCGTGTATAGAGGCTTTCTGTTTTTCCGTCTATGGGAGTTTGTCTCGATGAATAGTCGAAGGCGTTCTAGAGGCAGATCCGCAGAAGTTGCCTCCTTCACCACAGCTTGGGGTTGCTGTGCTGCAGCTGCTCGAAGAATCCAAAACGAGAAGTTCAAGAGCCAAAGCAAAAGCATGTGGAAGGGGCCTTTTGGTCAATATGGGGAGATTTGATTTCGTTAAGTTACGTCGTGGTGTTCAAGACGTACCAGTCGTGTGCAGGCGCCAACGTCGTAAACCTAACCCGAAGACGTAATGGCGGCAGAGGCTGACAAAATGGGAGATATTTGAAATGCAGGCTAGACGATGTTGCTAAAATGGAATACAAACCACTCTAGCTTCTGAAGGAAACCCCTGGAGGAATCTTGCAATTCGAGATCACGTGACTTGCTAGCTTAAAAGGACAGACTTGATCAGCAGTGGCATACTCTGATGACTGCCTTTGATGTTTTTTCTTATTGGCACGAAAGATATGTGTGTGCAAGGAATAATGTTCTGGTTCTGTGAACTGTTTTGGAGCCAACTTCGGGGTTAAATTGCGCTTTACTCAACGATATTTGACCCAATGCAGGTGATAGAAGAGGCACATAAGGGTTATTGAGACTTTACCATAATTCCCGGATCATTCTTTTCCTCATTTTGTGTCATAAATGTGTTTGATTCGTTATTAGTCTCTGGGCTTGATGTATCCGTTTAATCCACTTTCGGATAGGCTTGTATGGTTACTTGATGTACTTTACGCGTTTATGTACGAAGCGGTGATATTATGGAAAATTCTACAAAGCCCGCTCATAATCTGTGAGATCAGACCCTTTTCGGCCCATAGAAAACCAAGGCTTCGCTGAATACTTGAAAGAAAATAAATTAGGCAACTTCCAAACTGGTGTCTCCGTGATTCCACAATACTAAAAAAGTGTCATGTGCTGAACTGCCAGCCATCTACTTTTCACTCATTCATGAGGCCTGCAAGCAGTTATTCCTGTTCGGACTCATCCTATGACGTAATTTCAATCGAGCATAAACGACACAACAAGAGGAAGCGCATTACCGAAACACATTGTGAAGCAATCAAAAACTCCAGTAAAAAAAACAATCTTGAGTTTGTGCTACAAAACCCTCAAATAAAGCGCCACGGTTGCAAAATCTGTGGGGTCGGAGCGGCGCGCCGAGATAACACCTTTACACCACATATTACCAGCCTGGTCTTAATAACGGCCCAGCTGGCACGAGACCACCTTGACACTTGGCCCCAAGCGCCAACAAAGTAAAGCGGCAGTGTGGAACCAGCCAGTGAAGAGGACCCGTACACCGCATTGTTGTTAAGAAATCTCTTCACGCGACTCTTAAGCCTCCGAATCTCCGAAACTTTCACCAATTTTAGTCACAAAGACTTCGCTACTCTCTTCAGTCGAAGCGACAGCTCGGCTTTCTCAAGGTTTTTTCCCGATGCTGTCATTGGGTGCTCTATACATGGCTAAGAAATTCGGACCGTATTAAGCTCTCTGCAGGATACACTTTGAGTGAGACTTTTCGAACTGTATGCATTTGCTGTTAACAAGTAGAGGGTCTAACACCAACTAATTTCCACCTATACACGGTCCAAGGACCATCTTACTTTTAAAACTGGCCCACGCTATCTAGGCTTTCCACCTGTATTATAGAGGAAACCATGCAGCTTTTCAACTCAAAAAAGCCGGCCTACCAGTCCAATGAGGCGATCTTTCGGTCTGCTCCCATGACTCTCGTGCAATTTTACGTGACGATGGAGTTGGCCCGTGATTTGGTCTTTACGCTAGGAAATTTGGGTCAAGTCCATTTCAGAGATCTCAATGCCAAGTTAACAGCTTTTCAGCGTACATTTATCACCGAGCTAAGGAATATAGATGTCGTGGAGTTGAACTTGACATTTTTGTTCAGCATGATGGCCAAGTACTCAACGTTCAAGGGTGATCCGTTCGCCAATCTTGTGGCTGACGAGAATCCCTTGCCTACAGCATCTGAAATGGAGGAGATCAAGGAGCGCGTGGCTGCTTTTCATGACAAGATCAAGCACCTCGACGACTCACACTCGGCTTTGGAGCTTAAGAAATACAAGTACTTGGAGAATCGCCATGTTATAAATTCCGTTCACAATTTCCACAAATCCTCATTGGTGCCATCAAATCAGGACGCCGATGACGAATTCCGTCAATTTGAGATCGAGGACGACGACGAAGAGGCATTGCTCAATGAGGGAAGAAACTCTGATTCCTTCGAGATAGACCGCAATTCCATTCACGAAACTAGTACGAACTTAGATGGCAACAGTTTATTCAATTCAATTTGTGGTGTTGTTTCGAGAGATAAGATCCCAATCTTGAGAAAGATCTTGTGGAGAACGTTAAGAGGTAACTTGTACTTCAACGACATCCCAATCGACGAGTTGCTCCCAGAATCTCTAGAAAGACAATCCGATCTCGTACACAAGAGTGTCTTCATAATCTACATCCACGGTGAGTACTTGAGAGAGCGTGTGCGCAGAATCATTAACTCTTTAGATGGTCATATTTATGACAACACCGGGGGTGGTGCCGGCGGAAGACTTGCCACCTTAAATGAACTCAATGCCAAGATTGAAGATTTAAATAATGTCGTCGAGTCTACAAAAAGTCATTTGATCACAGAGCTTCTTGTCTTCCAAGAGAAGTACCCAGACTGGTACTATGTCGTGAAAAGGGAGCGCTCAATTTTTGAGGAACTCAACAAATTCGATGAAGATAGCACTAGGCGGTGCTTAGTGGGTGAGGGCTGGATTCCTCGCTCTGAAGTGGAGAACATCCGTCGAGCACTAAAAAACTTAGTGCGTGCTAAGACAGCCTCCGCCAACAATCCTTTGGTGCTGAACTCAGAAATCTCGCTCTCCAATGATACCTTAAATAATCAAGGAGCAAGCGCACCGCCATTGTTTGCTGTTGGTAATGAAGACCAACATGGTAATGACGAAGATAGTGATGATGACAACGACAACGATGACCAGGACTTCAACTTTGTTGCAGTACTCAATGAACTTGCAACAACAAGAACTCCACCAACATACCACAAGACGAACAAGTTTACACTGGGATTCCAGTCAATTGTCGACACGTACGGAATCTCCTCGTATCAAGAGGTCAACCCAGGTTTGGCCACAATTGTCACGTTCCCTTTCATGTTCGCTATTATGTTTGGTGATTTAGGTCATGGTTTCATCGTCCTCTTAATCGCTTTGTATTTCGTGAAAAACGAAAGGCATTTCGACTCCATGAGAAAGATGGACGAGATCTTGGGAATGGCTTATAGCGGCAGATACATCATGCTTCTTATGGGTTTCTTCTCCATATTCACAGGTTTGTTGTACAACGATATATTCTCAAAGTCGATGACTATCTTCAACTCGACTTGGAAGTGGGAGTTCCCCGAGAATTTCGAGCCATCGTTGAACAGCAGTGTACCATTGGTTGCCACCAGAAAGGGTACTAGTGTTTATCCAATCGGTCTTGATTGGGCATGGCACGGCGCTGAGAATGGTTTGCTTTTCACCAACTCTTACAAGATGAAGATGTCGGTTCTCATGGGTTACATCCACATGACATATTCTTACTTTTTCAGCTTGGTCAACTACCGTTTTTTCAACTCGCGTGTTGACATTATCGGCAATTTTATTCCTGGTCTTATCTTCATGCAAAGTATCTTCGGTTACTTATCGTTGACGATTGTTTACAAATGGTGTGTTGATTGGTTTGGCACAAATCGTCAGCCTCCAGGGTTGTTGAACATGCTTATCAATATGTTCCTCGCTCCTGGAAGTATTGAGGATCCTTTATACAAGGGCCAAGCTGTGGTTCAGGTGATATTGGTTCTTCTTGCCTTGTGTTGTGTCCCATGGTTGTTAGTCTACAAACCAATGATTCTCAGAAGAGAGAACCTTAAGGCTAAAGATGCTGGTTACAGCGATGTTCATTCCCAGAGACATCATGCTTTACAACTTCAAGAAGAGGAGGAAGCTTTGGTTCCTAATGGCGAAGTCAATTCCGAAACTGTCGGCTTGCATCCAGATGACGAGGTCGACTTGTTAAACGAGGCATTCCATTTCCCTAACGATATCGAGCCTATGGTTGGAAATTCAGGCCATGGTGGCGAGGGCGAGGAGTTTAACTTCATGGATATTGTCATCCATCAAGTGATCCACACTATTGAGTTCTGTCTTAATTGCGTTTCTCACACAGCGTCCTACTTGAGGTTGTGGGCTTTGTCATTGGCTCACGCTCAGTTATCTAGCGTCTTGTGGACAATGACCATTCAAAACGCATTTGGTGCAACGGGAACTGCTGGTATCATCATGACCTTCTTTTTGTTTGCCATGTGGTTTACATTGACGTTATGTATTTTAGTCATGATGGAAGGTACTTCTGCAATGTTGCATTCTTTGCGTTTGCACTGGGTTGAGGCGATGTCGAAATTTTTCGAGGGCGAAGGCTACTTGTTTGAACCTTATTCGTTTAAAAATATAGAGCTTTGATCGACGATCACCGTTTGTGCAATTAATTATTAACCTGCAATGGTGATCTTTAACCTAGAAATGGTACAAATTGGAGCTAGCCATTATGCGAGAACAATTTTTCGCGTTCGTCCGAGATGAAGTTGGCAAATTGATGAGATATAACCGTTAGACAGAAGCATTTGCGCTCCTAGAATTCATCTCGCGATTCGCTCAGTGAACTCCAATGCATGCATCCACATGCAATGCATGCTGCACGGAGCAGCACAGCTCCTCTCCTTTGGCCTGGATGTAACATGCTTTATGCGGTTTATGCGCGTTGCTTCAGCAAGGGTCCTTATTTGAGAGCCGAATGGCATAGATTGCAAGCACCGAAAAAGGGTGTGCTTAAATAGGAAATAGAGGATTGTACCACCCGCAACTTCACGAGATTGTCTACTTTGGCCCTTACATCTCTCCTCGTCAGACAATGCGTTTCTAAAGAATTTTCCTAGTTCTACGGACGACAATAGACATTCATGACGAGAGTCGCCCTGGTTCTCTTTGAGGAGACCTCTGGTAGGTGCTCTTGGAAAGAAAGCCGAATGACCGGTGTCGTAATTATCAGCTCGCATGTTCGGC